TTAAAAGAAGCTTATTCTGCTATTTATGATTTAAATATAAATCAAATTCAGGTAATATTTTATTCGATATATATATACCGTATTTTACTGAAAATAAGCATAAACATATTTATATAGGACCCGAAAATAAGCACAGCATATTTGTAAAATTTATTGTAAAAATTTAACCAGACATATTATAAATGCGAAATAATGTTTACAAAAAAAAAATAAGCTATATCGCTAAAAACTTTCATCATTAGTTTCACTTATTACCAATTTCTCAATCACTGATTCTACTATATTGATTTCCAATTCTGTTTCTTCATTGACTTCTGATCTATCAGTCTCGATTTCTGATTCCTCTTCATCTACATCAGAATTTACTGATGAATCTGTTATACAACACTTCTTAAAAGATTCAATAATAATTTCATCAGAAATTTTCTCTCATGATCGCTTAACCCAACCACATACATTGCTTATTTTAGCACACTGAAGGTTTTCGTTAGCAGTATTTCCAGCACTGCCACTTGCCATCACAGATGCCACTCTTTTTGGAGGTTATCCTTAAATGGCTTGTTGATTACAACATCGAGAGGCTGGAAAATACTTGTTAATCTGCTAGGAATCACAACTAAATAAACGTTACTTTCGCAAAACTTGTTTTTGACTGTTCCTTTTAGGTGGTCTTTGAATGAGTCGTATACTAGCATTGTTGGATCCCCAAATCTATTATCATTAAAGTAATCAATGTAATTCTTCATCAAATTAATATCCATCCATCTGTTCTTCTGGAACTAAACTATAACACTATAAGGAATTTTTTCTTTTTCATCACGTGCTAATCTATTTTCTTTAAATATACAAATAGGAGGTAATTTAGTCTCATCTTATTAAGTAAATTCAAATTTAGTAAGATTAAAACCTACAAAATTTGCAGAAACTACTAAAATATATAGACAAAGACAAGATTTCAAAAACGTACCAACAACACATGTAAGAACAACTGTAAATTGATTTTTTTCATTTCCAGTTTCACGAACATGAACCGTTTTTTCACCTTTTTAATTAATTGTAAAATTACCTGTCATGTTGAACCAAACAGGCATTTCGTTTATGTTATAAATATCGCACATTTTAAAAGACTTTTCTATCCTAAATTGAGTGACAAATCTATTAAAACTCTCTAGCAATTCTTTAGTATGTTCTGGGAGTTTCTGAGATATTTTTATGTGTTAGCGTAATACTAGCCCATGTCTTTTCAAAAATTTACGTAACCAGCTAAATGACGCTTTAAAATTATTTATTGAATTATAAATGGTTGTTATACTAGATTCACTTAAAATTTCCTTCATTTTATTTTGTATTACTAAGTA